AGATACCCATGGAGCTAATGTACATTATATTGAAAATTTTTAAATAATAGCATATTCTTTGGGTATTGCTCTTCCCACATGGTTGATCGAAGCAAAAAATAGTCCTTTTGTGCTGGGTATTTACGGAATTGCCTTTGGATTATTACTGCCGTTCTTTGTGGTATGTTTAATCACAATTATACTGCAGAAAATAATTCAAGTTAATTTAAATTTTATTTTCAGGGCCGCTGGTGGTATAGTTCTAATAGTTACACTAAGGATAAGATCTTGATCCATACTATGGAGCTATACTTTAAGGAACTGAAAGATAATTCCAGCCTAAAACAAATATTGGATTTACTTTCCGCTTCGTTAGAATACAGGGAGTTAGTAGAACAACGATCCTCTGACAGTGGTAAACTTTCGCCAGTAGCTCTCTCAGTAAGAGATGAGTTGGACAAAAGATTTGGAGAAAAATACGAAAAAAGTAAAAGGGTATATAATATATGTATTACTATTATTATTATTATTATTTTTTTTTTTGTTATAAAATTTGTTACCATGGGAAGATGGTTGCTCATCAATGACAAAATTACTATCAAAACATAGTATACAGCTCCATACTGTCAAAAAACGAGTGTATTGTTGTATGCTCATTTATTGCGAGTAAATATTGAAGACAAAGAATTGTTGAAAGGTAGGATATTTCTGACTTTGATATTGTTATAAAATATCTGGAATAACTTAACTTGAATTGATCTTTGCAGATAAATATTTCATTGCCGAGCATGCGGTTCATCTCATTAATGGTGTTCTTGAAATTGCATTCGCACACCGGTGGCTGCAGACTAGCATTCGTTGTATGGAAGTTTCCCAGTTGATAGTGCAAGCAATGTGGATAGGCGAAAACCAATTAGTACAGTTGCCTTATGTAACCAACGAAGTCTTAAAAGCAATTAAAATTAAAAAGAAGAATATAAAAAGTATCGCACAACTTCGAGGGATGAATGAAGAGGAAAGAAGGTAGATTTCTTTATTCATAGTATGCCTATGTTTTTATTGGTGAAGTATTGCTGACAATCCATGCTTAAATTTCATATAATTTATACTTTATATGAAAGGAATACATTGAAATTGTCAAATCCTTCGGAATATGATTCTCTATTACGCGTTGCAAAGTTGTATCCCATAATTGCACTTGAAGAGGCCTACTTCAAAGGTGAAGAGTTTGACATATATATTTGAAGTTAATAATACCAAATTCTTATATATTGCTTTCATAACAGTTACCGGAGACGAAATTATTACACCCAACTCCATTGTCACTTTAGTGATCAAAGTCAGAATTGTTGAACCTTCACCGAATCCCAGTGAGGTTGTACATAAGAAATCTGACGACACTAAAAATGCCAATTCAAAAAATGTTACTAAGAATGACGATGATGTCGATGATGACGATGAAAAAGGCAATTACCTTGATAGTGAAGATGAATTGTTATTTGGTGGAAAGCGAAGAAAGGTTTCGGAGGAACAGAGTCCATTTGTTCATGCACCTTATTTGTCAAAGGATAAAAAACCTTATTGGTGGATTTTTATGGCCGACGAAAAAAAAGATAGACTTATAATTGAACCCGTTAAGGTCACTAATATTGTAACCACCAAAACATTCAAATTTCAATTCCAAGCTCCGCGCGAACCAGGTTTATATTCTTTTGTCACGTATATCAAGAGTGATTCATACGTCGGAACAGATATCAAGAAAGATATGAAAGTAAGTTTTGCTATGATTATTACTATTTTATGCTTATGAATTACTATATGCTAAATTCTTTTGAATTCGATTATCCAGCTTGTCGTAAAGGATTTTTCAGCGCTCCCGCCCGAAGAGGAAATTGATGATGAGATATCGGAGCCCGAAGAAGATTCAATTGCCGGACAAATGAAATTAATGAGGGAGCAAGGACTCGCTGCGGCCGTAAAGGGTGCTGGAGAAAAGAAAAAACAAGAAAGTGATAGTAGCGATGATAGTGACGATGAATGAGCCTACCTTTGTGAAACGAAAAACAAAATTTGAACAAGTTGGAAGCCGACTTCCAACAAATAATATAATTGATTTAGCCAGATGAATATATTATGATCCTAACTGTAATATATGTTTTCTTTCAAGCAAACTTACGGGAGCAACTTTATTTGCTTAATAAAAAAATTGTGAATTTAGAATGCAGATACTGTAACAGTAATAGTGAGATGGTAATCGCAAATATATTAATTTCTCGAGCAACAGAATAATATAGGCGAGTTTGTAATATTGAGTTTGATTTGTATGAACGTGATCGTTCAAAATTTTGATTTTTTTTAAAAAAAATTTTTTATTATTAATATAAAAATATTTAAATTAATTATATGTAATAAACTTTCTTTTACAGATCTAAATATTTTTTAAACAATTTTTATCTAAAATATCTATCGATAATTATTTTATGCTTGCTTTTTTATTTAATAAGCTAAAAATGATAAAAATCTTTTTAAAAAAAAAAGTTATTTTTATTTATTTTTTTATTTTTTTTTAATTTGCAATCATGGAATGTTCTTATTGAGATACAAAAAACATCTACAATATTACATGAATTTTCATATGACAACTAACTCACCTTTATATAATGTAGTATTAGTTAGAGGATTACATTACTTAAAAAAATATAAGGAGTTTACTAAGTTAGTTCGGATTAAATAAAACTAAGTTTCAATAAAATACTCTAAGTCTAATTTAAAGAACAATAATTCATTTCCCTGATAAATTGATACTATTTTATTTATTTATTATTTTTTTTAATCTGCAATTATACAATGATGGTTTGTCTTTATAGAAAAATTAAAACAAAATCTATAATAATTTATAGATTTTTTTTTTTTTTTTAAACCGCAACTGGTATTAGATGCGAGCGCTTTTATTAAGAATTAACTTAACATCTTAAATAATGAAATCCTGGGCATCACATTAATCATCTCATACAAACTATATATTTTCTATATACATACAGATTAATGATAACCTATCGTGGTTTTCTCTAGGTGGACCCACTAACCACTCTGTAAGTGAGGCAGATCCAGCTAGAGGCCGGATAGTTAATACACAGTCATCGACAGCGAAACAGGCTAAGTTTAGTATTGAGCTTTTTTATAAATTTTTAATTATATTCACTAAACTAGTTTGTATAGTATGTATCTGACGGGATTTAATTTACCCTCCAATACTTCCAGATATTATTTGCTCAGACCTCGGAAGGGGACACTTTACCTTCTTTGTCATCACCTGTGGCATCAGATTAGTCCCATTTGATCAATTTTTATTTAAGCGAAGCACCATATTGGGATATCCTGAACTAGAAGAGTAGGCATGTATTAATATTTTTTAATTTTAGATTATTTAAAAACTTATATATATATATATATATATATATATATATATATTTAAATGTTAACTCATCCTTGTGTTGAGGTGAGCAAAATTTATTTGAATAAACAAGAGACCTAGGGATAATCAAAATGAATAACTATCTATACTATCTAAAGATTTATATATTAATAAATAGTATAAAGAGTTACCTATTTACATCCCATTCAATCAGAATAAGATAGTTACATAATCATCTAGTATAGGTATCTACTTACAAAAACAAACCATGAAAAAACAGGAAGTATGAAAATATATTAATAAAACTCTTTCCACTGATCCTTTGTCTACATATAAAAAAGATGTTCACAAAAAATTTTTATTTTTTTACTAATAAAGTCTTAATACTATCATTAAATCAACTTGAAGTTTTACTTCAAGAGATACCATTAAACTCTCTCTCTTGTTTATATTCATTTTCAGACAAAAACTTGGCTTCCTGTAATCTAGAAAAGTCAAGAAACACCTTCTCTATTAATAGCAAGAAAGAAAAATCAATAGTGTAATACTTAAAACCTTTCATATTGAAGCATGTCTATAGATATTTCTAGCAGTGGGAGATGACAAACATCAAGCCATATTTTAAGATGTTTACCTACTGTATCTTTCCTCTTATAGTCACCCAAAAATTTTTTCTTGATTTTCTGAAGAATTTTGTCTATTTCTGTTTGACTCTGATTTTTAAATAATACAACCCATTGCAAAATATGATGGGTGGATATGAAACACGTTAGTAGCTAAATATAAACAAATCCCTATTGATCACTTCACATGTTTTGATAATGTCATTGGTAAAAGAAAGAGAATTTATTGGTGCAAATCTTCTATTCCTCTGAATAAAGTATGATTGAAGTAAAGAAATCATAAGGCCATTAGGATGGATATTAAATTCACTAGATAGTAGAAAGGTGGTTATTTGTTCAAGTCAAGATCTTCAACTTTTTATTATCCTGATTAGGCAAAGTACACAAAGGAGATTATTTCCTTATCTCAGTTAGGCAATAAGATTGAAAAGCAGAAGACTGTAAGCCACTAGCCTTCTTTAAGTTTGAGAATGCATTTTCTTAGACATTGTATAATGATATTGTAATAGAGGAGGATTTCTATACTCTGTGTGACCCTTCCACCATTGCAAGGCAAAAAGACTGTTGGGTAATCTGATTTTTTGAGCAATAGAAGATACTTATCAATAAAATTTCTTTAACTAGGCATGGCTACTGAAAGATATCAGTAGTTATATAATATAATTGAAAGGTTACATAAGAACCCAAGATTCACTATAAGCCATTAAGATTTGCACAGATGAATATAAAATCAATATCAAAAGAAAAAAAGTAACAAGCAAGATACTGAATCTAAATAGGTGATAAGTATCTTAGACAGTTACAAGAAAATAATCAAGATCATAAATAGATAAGTTCCTTAGATAATTAGGAAAAAAAAATATTTTGAAAGAATTGGATCCTAATAAGAGGAGGTTTTTAGTAGAAATTCTTCAGAGAACATGAAGAGCTTTTATTTTTCTTTTTTTTTTTTCTCTTTATATAAGTGCATTGGCACATTTTTAGATATTCCTCTTCCCTTTTATTTATTTTTTCTTTTCTCTTTTATAGTTTCTCAAATTCAGTTTCTTGAAAAATAATAAGCAGTGATAACCTGCTAATAATAATGGATAAGTTAGGAGAGTATTCACCCAAAACTTAGTCCAAAATGAAATATTGTCCTCAAAATTGCACTTAGAGGCTGAAGCTTTTTTAAGAATTGAAAGCCATTGATAAGTATATTAGTATGAGTCTTTTAGTTTAGCCATGATACAATTGTCTATGTATCTCTATCGATTTTTATATTGATTAATAAATACATAGTACTGGTCTGACCACAGGTTTAAAAAAAAATAAAAAGTATGAAAACACACTATATTAATTTTTTATCTTACACTTTGACACTCCCTAGAGTGTGACTATTGGCCAACCCATCAAGTGGCTTATTGCTATTCCAAAAAGAGGGACTAATGTGCCAAGGATTTATCTGGGATACCCAGCACTACTGATGTTGAGAACTACTCATGT